ATTATTCTTTGTTTAGTAACAAAAAAGAAGAAGATTTATTCACCATTGATAGATGCCCGAAAAAATGTAACAAATACATGGAAAATTCAAAATGTGATATTTTACTGACTGCATATAGAAATTAAATAGAAATAATATAATTATAAATTTTGCTTAAATTTTGAATTTCTGATCTTTTGTTTAAATTATTATCACTTTTGCTAATACAAACCATTTCCAAAAAAGTTCTTTTAAATTTATTAATTTCATTACATAAAATTTTAATATTATCAAAATCCATAATATATTATGGTCTTTGTCTATTACATGCTCTGCCAAAGCACAAGATGGTTTCTTAATTCTACAATCACTCTTGTGAGAAATAGAGATTTCTTCCAGTCTCACCAATATACTCAGCTTCACACTGAGTACAAACAATGCTGTATACTACATTTGTTTGATCTAATTTGTCTATAGGACATTTGGTTGTGGAATATAAAGATGAAATGGTTTTGATTAAATTTGTTGATATTTTTATATTGTCAATAACCTTTAATGTTTGTATTAATTTAGGAGTTAATGATGGTATAAAAGGTAGTGAATGATAATATGTTTTGATTGTTGGATACAGTGTTTTGAGATTTAGCAAAAAATGGTGTTAAGTTATTTATATTTAATAAATTAGAAAAAAAAAATAAAAAATAAAAACTCTTATCCTCAAGATATGCTGCATACGATGCTTTTTTCTAATTTATTAAATATAAATAACTTAACACCATTTTTTGCTAAATCTCAAAACACTGTATCCAACGATCAAAACATATATTATCATTCACTACCTTTTATACCATCATTAACTCCTAAATTAATACAAACATTAAAGGTTATTGACAATATAAAAATATCAACAAAGAACATCAAAACTATTTCATCTTTATATTCCAAAACTAAATATCCTATAGACAAATTAGATCAAACAAATGTAGTATACAGCATTGTTTGTACTCAGTGTGAAGCTGAGTATATTGGTGAGACTGGAAGAAATCTCTCAAATCGCATTATTTCCCACAAGAGTGATTGTAGAATTAAGAAACCATCTTGTGCTTTGGCAGAGCATGTAATAGACAAAGACCGTATTATGGATTTTGATAATATTAAAATTTTATGTAACGAAAGTAATAAATTTAAAAGAACTTTTTTGGAAATGGTTTGTATTAGCAAAAGTAATAATAATTTAAACAAAAGGTCAGAAATTCAAAATTTAAGCAAAATTTATAATTATATTATTTCTATTTAATTTATATATGCAGTCAGTAAAATATCACATTTTGAATTTTCCATGTATTTGTTACATTTTTTCGGGCATCTATCAATGGTGAATAAATCTTCTTCTTTTTTGTTACTAAACACAGAAGAATTTTTTAAACAAAATTTTATTTTTGACAATATATCAAAAATAAACATTTTTAAGTTAGTATTTATGACATTTAGGCTGGTTTGTAGCTATTCTATTTTTGTTTACAAATTCAATTGTTTTTGTAAAGAAACTTTATCAAAATTTTTCAGAGAAACATTTATTAGAATAAGACATTTTTTTATTAATATTTTTTGTAATTAATATGTAAGCAGTAGTTTTATATAAAAAACTAATTTTATTTGGTGAGTTAACAAAAAGTTTTCTATTTCTAGTTCAACTTTGTAAGATATTTTGTATTTTTTAGAAGCTCTTGATAAAAATTGTAATCACAATTGAAAGCTCGAGTAAAAAATAGTCAACAAATAGCCCCTTTTATTGACTCCAATCCATCAAAAACAGTTTTATATATATATATATATATATATATATATATATATATATATATATATATATATATATATATATATATATATATATATATATATATATATATATAATATATATATATATATATATATATATATATATATATATATATATAGACTTGATGTTAAGTAAATGCTTGGTTGCTAAGTAAAGTCGGAAACCTTGTCCAAATAATCAAAGCTATACAATTTTTTTAAAATAAAATGTAAAAATTATACAGTAATTTAATACATACTCCAATTACAAACTGTATTTACTTAAAAGAATTATGTTATAGTCAGATTTCATTTTGTATGAACCTTGTTCATTTTAAAACTTATCTTTAACTTAAGGCTGTTTTATCGGTGCACCAAAACCTAGGCACTGATATTTACCGACAAAATGTCTCGAAATTTGGACACAATATTCAAAACTATGTTGCTTTTAAAATAATGGTTTTACTTTTTTTATTTTTTTGAAACTTTGTTGAAACATTGGATTATACTGTTTAACGTTCTATTATAACCAAACTTTTTACGCCCATGACTTGAAAGAGTTTTTTTTTTCTGTAATCGTTGATTTTTATCTCACCTTTCTGTGTCCAGTAATTCGTGTTAAAACTAATTTGAATGAAGAGTAATGCATTTGTCGCGTAAGATAATCTCGCGTAAGCAGTGTAGAAATGTAAGTGATACGCCCATTTGAAATCGCAGTGTGCTTGAACTGCTAAAACAGCCTTAAGATAGGGTTTGATATGTTTACAATTGTTCAAATTACTTTTAATATGTCATCACAATAATGGAAAAAGGTAAGTACCAATTTGTTCCTTCATAATTTTAAATACTTTTATTCTTGAATTGCTCGTTCAACATGCACTCTAGCTCTTGTGATTTCAGCTGTCTGCACTGATTCTTCTTTAGAAAGTTGTTTTTTCTTTTTTAAGAAGGGAGGTCTTATTTATTTCACCAAATGTTCTTCAATCAAAAATCCCTTATCTACCATAATTGCATCGTTAAGGTCTAATTTTAATAAAACTTTTTTATTAGTAAATATATGCTTATCGGATGCCCTACCTCCGTAACAAGGACTCAAATATAATATTAACCCCGATGAAGTTATAGCTATTTGGGTTTTTATAATATTACTTTTTTATAATGTGAGTAAGTTTTAATTTTATATTGGAAGTGAATTGAAGTGAATCATGCAATGAGTGGTTCGATACTGAGTGCAAGGACATTACAAGAAGAAAGAACAATGCATATAAACTGATGCAGCAAAAAAGAACCCGAGAAAAAGAACAAAAATATCGTCGCCGTGGATGTGAAGAAAACTAACCAACAAAAGTCAGTTTCTAGATAATGAGCATTTTATATTGCCATGTCTAGGAAAAATACATTTTAGATGATAACTTTCCTGTTCATTGAACTATTCCTAAAAAATTTTTAGGATTTATCAAACAAAGTGTTACCTACTTTGTACTAAACAACTAAACTAAACACTGATAAAACATTGATTTATATGAGGGTAGAAGGGTTTCGTTCACTTAGCTCCATTCACCACTAAATAACTTTTAAAAGTCATACTGTTTTTTGTTGTGTAAAAAGATCTAATTCTACAAAATTAAATAATACAAGGTGATATTGCGCTTAAAATGTTTAATTTTGCATACAAAAATAACACAAAAGTATGAGAGATTCAATTTAGGTTTTAGTCTTTAACATTGAATATTATTTAACATTGAATATTATACAGAAATCCTATTATTTTATCGCTACTCGGATTCCGAATCGTGTGCAGCGATTCTCTCTATTGCTTTTAAAAGTCGAAGGTAGTAATCATGATAAGTGGCTGGATTAGTACCTGACCTACAAAGATATTGTAGATCTTTTAGTTTCTTAGGCTGGTCCTAAAGCCGAAGGATACAATTTCGGTTCCTCACTGAAAACATTATTGTCAACTCGAGTGTTTCTACGAATGCACAATTGTTTGAAGTCTACCTAACTAAGTTGTGTTTTATAGAAGATTATATGTAGGTGTTCTTTTCTATATTGTAGCCATGTAATATTTAGCCACTTCATAACATCGCCATCGACTGTCTTCGTTTTGTTAATAATTAATTTTTCTCTGTAAATTTTAAAATCTAAAAAATGGCTGTAATCTAATTCCTTAACGACGTATAGGGGGTAATTTACTTTGGCTGTTCTTGCCACCGTGTACCACCCGTCAGGCACATATATATTTATTTTTCGTCCCCTACTTTCAATCGCAGAATGAACGCTGTCGCATTCCATTTCGGAATGTCCGGATTCCATGAACTTTTGATTAATAATGTGTAAATTATCAGAAGCAGACAAAGATTTTATAAACATTGCAGATAAAATGGAATTTCTATTTTGACCTGTTGCAGTATCAGAATAAAATGTTACTTCACTCACTTCAGATGGTAGCTCAGAAAGCATGTTCCATAAGCATGTAGCTACTTCTGATGATCCTTTTGTACCATTCAATTCATGCCACACGTAGTTAATAGCAACAGTAGTTTTGAGATTATACACAATAAAATTGTAGATTTTTAATTTCCGTTTATAATATAATTGCCTCACTTCTAATTGGGGAGTCAATAAAAGCTTTTCCATATCCATAGTGAAGGTGCCGAAAGTATTATCAATTTTAGCACGATCTTTGTCAATTTTCTTGAGCTCTCTAGCCTCCTTCTTTCGAAGTTGATGTAGATTGTATTCATCTTGAAGTTTTTCTTTTTCGTCTTCGGCTTTATTTGCGAATAGCGTGCAAAAGCTAAATTGGTCTTTTTTTGGTTTGTGGAAACCATACTTAAATTCGGTACTGAATATATGTTTATAATAATAAAACGACACTAAATCTTCCTGATACTCTTCGCAGTATTTTAAATAATCTAGGTAAAGTCGTTTTTCACATAAACCAGAAGGTAAGTATTTCCTCTTGGTTGAACTTCGACAATAGTGAGAATCAATTACCGGTAGTGATTTGATGTGATTACGTACTACCTCCTTTTGATTATCTGGGATTTTGTTAGGGGGAACTTTTCGAACTCTCTTGTCCTCCTCTATGATACCTGACGACTTTGACTTTTTTAATGACGTTTCAACTTTTTTTCCAGATATATCAAATGTACCCAGAAAAAACTTTTTACATACTTAGATGTTCTCGTCATCCAACCTTAAATTGTACACCATAGTGTATTTGCGTCTAGAGGCGGCATCTTCATTATTTGATTTATATCGCCGATTAAGTATTTTTTTCGTAAATCTACTGCTGATAAAGCTCCACCTTCCTGTTTTATCTTGAATGGAGTAAAAATCATCAAATAATTTTTGCTTCTTTGCCTGGCTAATTTTTTCTGTACACCTATAGTGACATTTACAATTACCGACAGTATTAACAGATTTTTCTCTAACAATATTACCTTTTTGAGAAAAATGTTCCTTTTCAGAAAGTCTGAGGCTCCCTTGCTGATTGCGTTTCCAAGTTGATGGAAGCCTTTGCGTTTACGTGACGTAGATGAAGATATGGTTTCTATATTAATATTTATAATCTGGCCTGAAGAAGGACCTGGCTCCGAGATGTTCTGTGTGGAGGACACTATTGTAGACTGACTTCTGTCTGAAGAACTTTCATTTGAACTACCAGGTGTGCATACTGGATCCAAGTCCAAGTCACAACTAGCAAAAGGATCTTCTTCGCTTGAGTCACCTAAAAAGAAAACAATTGATAAGTGCACATAAGTGAAGTTTACATTTAAAATAATGTTATTTTTACATCGAACTATACCGCTGTTTAATCATATTATATCAATAAACTTTAAAGATATTACAAATTTTTATTTGTATAGCTAACAAATTTGTATAAAAAATAAATAATAAAACTTTAGAAGCTTTCATATAAAATAAATTTAATACTTGTTACAATATTGAGTACCGTGAGACTTTGCTGAAGCAGCAAACTCCAGCTAACGATAAGATGACTAATCGACTGTATCATCATAATTTATCTGTCTGTTGTTATTTGCAGACTAAGTTCAAGCGTCTGATAGCTCTGTTCACCACTGAAAATATGTTCAGTACCCGCTGGTGGTGAGTGACATAGATCACTTCACTCCAAAAAATAAGGATTTTGAATTCACTTAGCGTCCTTTCACATTTTAGAATATAAACCATTTGAAACAACACATTTACTTAGATCTCTTCACTACATTATGAAATCTTTCCTTCTGATTGCGATGCTGCAGTTAGCTCATTTTTAAGAAAATGTGGGTTAGCTCTCTTCACATCCACGACGACGATATAAAGATCTCAGAAAAGAAGAGAAGTACATTCATCTGAGAAAAAAGCGAACGTATAAAAATAGAATATTGGAAGAACTTGAGGCATTAAACAAGGAAAATCAAACAAGAAAATTCTATAAAAATCTGAATAATACAAGAACAGAATTTAAACCAAGGATCGAATTAAGTAAGAATAAAGAGGAGCATATATTCAATACAAAAGAAGAAGCATTGAAAAGGTGGGTGGAACACTATAAAGAACTACTTACTATAGAAGTAAAAGATCCAAATCAACCACCCCCAGGAGCAAGCAACAATACACCAATGGAGCCTCCATCAATTCAAGAAGTGCGGGATGCAATAAAACACCTAAAAAATAATAAATCACCAGGAAGTGATGGTATACCCGCATAACTTATTAAATGTGGAGGTGCTACTCTTATTAACCATATATATTTAATCATACTAAAAGCCTGGAATGAGGAACAAATCCCGGACGAGTGATGTATCGGGATCGTTTGCCCACTACACAAAAAGGGTGATCAATTGGAATGTAGAAACTATAGGCGAATAAGCCTCCTTAATACAGCATACAAAATATTTTCGAGTATTTTATATAGTCGCCTGAGTGCATATTCAGAGGAGCTTCTTGGCGAATATCAAAGTGGTTAGGCCTGGTCGATCAACAATAGACCAGATCTTTGTGCTAAGGCAAATACTGGAGAAAACCAATGAATTCAATATCGGCCTATGATTGTGTCCTAAGAAATAAATTGTATGAAGAATGAATGAATTTCACATCCCCACGTATGATTGGTTAAGGCTACAATGCGTAAAGTTGTTTGCAAAGTCGAAATACAGGGCTAACAATCACAGGCATTTGAAACGCATGTTGGTCGGCGACAGGGAGATGTGATGGCGTGTCTTCTTTTCAACATAGCTCTGGAAAAGGCGGTCAGGGATGCCCAAATAGACAACAGAGAAAACATTTTTAATAAACCATCCCAAATTTTGGCCTATACAGATGACGTTGACTTAGTTGCCCGCAAAACATGCAAACTAGAAAAAATGTATACCACCTTATCAAATGCCTCAAAAAATATGGGCATGCAAGTAAATGAGGAGAAAACTAAGATCATGGCATCAACACCCAACAATAGAGCCAGAAACATCGGCCACTAGTTCACTGTTGATAACTCTACCTTTGAAGTGGTGGACAAATTCACATACTTAGGCTCCCTGATCACCAAGGAGAACGTCATGACCAAAGAAATCAAGCGAAGAATAATCCTAGCAAACAAATTTTATTTTAAATTGAGCAGACATATGAGAAGCAGAAATTAAGTCAAAAAACAAAAATAACCATATACAAAACCCTTATACAACCAGTGTTGAGTATGGATCGGAGACATGGACCATTTGCAAGGCAGATGAAAACCTCCTGCTTATATTTGAACGAAGGATCCTGAGAAGAATATTCGGTGGCATCTGTGAAAATGGTGTTTGGAGCAGGAGGTACAACTATGAGATATATCACAGATATAAATATATATTTGGTGGTAAACACGTAGTATGTCTCATAAAAATAGGAAGACTAAGATGGGCAGGACATCTGGCAAGATCGCCGCGGAACAACTCTCCTAGAAGAATGTCCTCTCCTCTAGAAAGAATCTCCTTATGTCACAACCTGTGGGAAGTAAAAGTAGTGGTAGGCCAAAACTTAGATGGAGGAATGGCGTAGATCAGGATGGTAGAAAAATAGACGCAGCAAACTGGCAACAGTTTTCAATGGATAGAACTGACTGGCGTCGAGTCTCTTGGGAAGGTCGAGGCTCTTTTATAGGGTTGTAGCACCAATGATGATGATTGGAAGTGAATTAAAAAAGATATTCAAACATAAACAAACAAAGTTAGGATAGAATCGACGTGTGAGGTTGTCTGATACTGTTTACTGGATTGCCGCAAGGCCGAGATCTCTCTCTCTCTCTCTTCAATCCTGACCCCCCAGTGGATCGGGAGTGTAGTGGTCGAGTGATGTCGTGTATTGTCCGTCTCCAGAGATCTCTGTCTCTGGTCATTTCTTTTAATTCATGCATAGGTCTTTGGCATATTCCTATAATTTAATCTACCCATCTCGTTGGGGATCTTCCTCATGATCTTCGGCCTTCTACCTTTCCTTGTATTATGAGTCTTTCCATGTTTTCTGTGTTTGCTCTCATAACATGCCCAAAATATTTTAATTGTTGGAGATGGACTTTACTAGAGAGTCGTTGGCTAACTTTTAGCTCTCTTAAAATTGAATTATTTGTTCTACGGTCGGTCCAAGGAATTCGTAACATTCGTCTCCAACAGAACATTTCAGTGGCGTCTATCTTTCTTCTCTTCGATTGTCTCAGAGTCCAAGCTTCACATCTTTAGGTCAGTATTGGGAATATTAAGCAATTGATCAACCTCATCTTTATCGCTCTTGAAATTTGACAGTCCTTCCATATTTTGGTCATTTTTGTTGTGGCAACTTTTGCTAGATCACATCTACGTTTAATCTCTTCTTGTAATGACCCTGTGTTTGTTATTAATGATCCTAGATATAAGTATGAGCTCACAACCTCGAACCTGTCAATTGTGGTTATGTGTGGATGATTGTTGTGTAGTCTATCCACTATCATGATCTTTGTCTTTGATATGTTTAATTGCAGACCAAATTGACTTTCGTTTTCGATCAGTCGTATAAGTTCCATCAGCTCTGCTTGACTATTTGCAAGAAGAGCTGTGTCATCTGCGAAACGTAGGTTGTTTAGTTTATGACCATTTATTGAGATGCTCTTTTCCCATCCTTCAAGTGCTCTACGCATAATATACTTCCCATATATGTTGAATAATTGTGGAGATAGTATACATCCTTGTCTGACACCCCGTTCTGGATGAAACTTGTTCGAAAGTGTGTCAAGTACTTTAACTGATCCAGTAGTGTGTTCATATAGTTCAGTTATAAGCGTAATTAGATGTTGTGGTACGCCTACTTCTTTTAGTATTCGTCATAAGTGTCTCCACTTGACCCTGTCGAACGCTTTACGGTAATCTATAAAACAGATGTATTGTGGGATATTGAATTCCCTAGATTTCTCGATTATCTGTCTTATATTCAGCAGGTGTTCTCGAGTGCCTCTATCTTTGGTAAATCCAGTTTGCTCTGGCTACAAGGCCGAGATAATCAACAAAAAAAGAAGATGTATTTGGTGACTTTTCTAGTAATTTTCCTAAGTGTGAATCTGTCTTTTTGGTTTACACCTTGTGGTTAAAAAACAGAGCATAGTTAGCTTTGTTGCTAACTAACGTCGGAACCATTGTTCAAGTTATGATATAAAACCATAATAAATAGTCTAATAAAAATTATATAAATTACAACAGTTTGAAAGCTTTAATCTTGTTTTTAAAATGAGATTAAGCTTTACGTCATCATAAAACAAAAGCTTTTTAGGATTATATTGCATGCTCAAACTTGATTAAATCTAAACTTTTTATTAAACTCAATACAATCTCGAGGGACTTAGACGTAATGCTCTCGGTCGTATATACTTTAGTTACATCCGATTATATTACGTATACCTATCAGATATCGATTAATAAATCAATTCCGTCTACCTTTAAATTCTATGTATGTATTGATACACATATGCATGTACGCCGCTTGTCATACTATTGTGACAAAGGTATCTTGTGTATTGTCAGTGGCGTTCTGCCCCATACAAATTTATTATCTAAACAACGGGTCCAGTACTTAATACAATAATAATTTATCTGATTAGATAAATAACTTTAAACTATTAATATATACAAGCCTAATTGGATTAGATAATTTAGTGTTAATAACACTGGGAACAATTTGAAACTCAATTTCTGTTGAGTTAGATTTTTTAGCCGTTTTCTACAGAATTAGGCGTTCTGATTTCAAAACTATTTGATAACTTTTCTTCTATACCTCACGTTTGTCTTCTATGTGGGTGGGGCGCATGTTGATGGGAGAATGACGCGCTGATAACTGCAACTGGTCTAGACTTGACTTTTCATGTGTTCACTTCAGTTACGTCTGTTATACCGTGGTGAAACGTTGTGTGTTGGTTAGCAGCATTTAGTATTTCATTACTTAAGTGTGTAGAACTACTTAGTGAACTTTCTTAAGTGACCTTAGTGTGGACCAAGGGAACACGTGCTAAACTATGATTTGGTGCTTCAAAGGGAACCTATGATTTGGCGCTAGCCCAAAGATCATTCAAGTGATTGTTACTTTTGTATAGTGAAAACATCAGGATATAACAAAAAAAATAAATGTAAGATAGAGTATTCTAGTTTACCGTCAGCTATACGCCCAGTGCTGCATTCAGCTGAAATTCCCGTTCCAGTTTTCAACGAATTTCCCTCTTTAGAAGAA